ATAGCTTAGTGCATAAGTTCCTGCCTGGTCAGTGCATGATCTAGAGTTTGATCCCTGGTAGTGTGTGTGTGTGTGTGTGAGAGAGAGAGAGAGAGAGAGAGAGAGAGAGAGAGAGAAAGAATGTATGTGACAGTTAAGACCTCTCTCTCTCTCTCCCCCTCCCTCCCTCCCTCCCTCTCCCCTCCCTCTACCTTTCCCTCCCCTCTCCTCCCTCTCCTTTTCCCTCTCCCTCTCCTTCTCCTTCTCCCTCTTTCTCTTTTATATGTGCAGTAAATCCCAGAGCTTTAGAGGAACAAAAGGACTAATGATGTGAATCGGTGACAAATCATTCTTTCTTCCCAGTGCATTCTAATTAATTATTTTCCTTTGCTGATAACCTCCACTAAGACGTCCTGTGATTTTTAATTTTCTTTTCTTTGTGCTGGGTATTTAACCCAGGGCCTTGTGTTTGCTAAACATGCACTCTGAGCCATCCTCGAGCCAAGACTATAATTTTAAGTAGTATTTTTATAGTATTTCACAAGAGTTCTTTTGCAGAAGTGTTTTGTCAAGCTACACTTCATGGCCAATTAATAAGGATTTTTTGTATATACTTTATTTTTAGTACACTTTTAGATTCATAATAAACTTGAGTAGGAAGTAGAGAGATGGTGTTTGTGATGTACAGTTCATTGTGTCCCCACCCATTTTTGTTTGTTTGCTCTTTCCTTCGTCCTACCTGCTGACATGGCCTCATTACTGCCTACTTTGAACCAGACCATGGAGAGTCTACAGGCCAGCCTGCCTTAATAGCAGAAGAGACATTTTAGCTCCCAGTGGGAAAGGATAAAGTGGAGCAAAACTTGGGAAGAATAATTTGGTAACAATCTGTGGGACAGACAGGCAGGAAACACTTAGAGGCGAGAATCCTGTGATGAGCTGATGGGGGAGTCCAGTTGTGCAGGGGAGAGATCCCGGACTGGTGTGGAAGTCATAGGAATAAGACAGGAAAGGACTGGTCTGAAAAGTACAGCAGTTAGCTAGTCTGATAAATCTGCACTCACACCAGGGACAAAAGTCATAAGAGTAGGAAAGCCATTTTGTTTGACTGTGTAGAAGAACAGCATATGGTTAAAGCCCTTTAGGGCTCAGTGCCAGAAAGCCATATACTTACCCTTGTTAACAAAATCTTGAGGGATTAAAAAAATCATTTTTTTTTTTTTTTTTTTTTTTTTTTTGGTGGAACCAGGGATTGAACTCAGGCCCTTGCGCTTGCCAGGGAAGTCCTTATTCCACTGAGCCATCTCCCCGGTCCCCCAAAAAATCATTTGGAAAAACATAAAATTTCTTAAATGTATACTTGGAAGAATACAAGAGAAAAAAATAGTTAAAATAAAGTGTTAGAAAAATGTTTCATGCATGTTAGGTTTTTAAATATTAAGAATCTGTTGTATACATAAAGTAGAACCATTACAATAGCATAGTGATATGAAAAGTTGATGTCGACATCGATGCAGCAGAAGACAGACTAGGAAGAAACACTGAATGATGTGAGACTTAATATGTGAGGAAGGAAGCAACAGAAATCTGGGGGGATGAGCTGAACGTGGTGGCACAAATCTGTAAGCCCAGTACTCTGGGAAGCTGAGGCAGGAAGAGTACACACTCAAGTCTTGCCTGAGGAATTTAGTGACATAGTGAGACTTTGTCTCCAAATAAAAAAAAAATAAATGAAGTTTGGGGATGTAGTTCAGTATGAGGGTCCTAGATTCAGTCCCAGTGAAACCTCCCTACTCCTTAGCCATATGGTACACACACACACACACACACACACACACACTCCCCAACAACTTGTATGTATAAAAGTAACTTCAGACAAAATAAGGGTAACTAAATTGGTGAAAACATTTTTCATGAGCATGACGGATATATATTTTACATCATTTTTCTTAATATAGAAAAAGTTAAAGCAATTTGATAAAACATGACATTCTGAGTGAAAAATGACAGTAGCCTTGAATGTGAAAAAGTAGCTCATAAAGTAGAAAAGAAAAAAATTCATCCTTTCATAACTGAAGAATTAAAATTTAAAATAAAACCCATTTTTCACCAATCCAAGTGGCATATAAAAAATTCAGTATTGAGTATTTACTCACCTCTCCTTCTGCCCTGCTCCATATACCAGAGTATATGACAGAGAGATTCTGGAAGCTGGGTTGCTAGGAGGTATCAAAGCCTTAGTATTCATGTATGTTGACAAAATAATTCTGCTTTGAAGAGCTCTTTTAAGCTATAGATCAGAAATGTAGGCAAAAACTTAGGAAGAAAAATGATGACACTGTCATTTATATAAGCAAAACCACAATAAACAACAGATTTCCACAGTAGAATTCTTAAATACGTTCAGACACCTTCATGATGGGCCATTACTCAGCTCTTTAAGAAGCTATTTATAAAGTTTCTTTAAAGACAAGATACAGTGCTTTTGCCATTTAAGTGGAACATGTTTTAACATTTGGAGAATTAACAAGTTCACTTCTAATTCTTTTGCAGAGGCCTACATCTCTGGTAGATAATTGGGAAGATTTGAATCTATGAAAGAAAAACATAAATAGCCTGTTTAGACTGGTAGAGATAATTTGTAAAAGTTCAACATAAGTCCTACATCAAAGTAAAAATCTTATCATAAATTAGTAATACTAAAAAGCCAAATTATAGGAATATTTGGTTATTGAATTAATAAGGCACCTGCAGCAGGATACACCGGGGGTACATCTATAGTCCTCAGTGCTTGCGAGGCTTAGGCAGGAGTTGAGCCTAGGTGTTTGAGGCCAGCCTGAGCAAGAGAAGATACCATCTCAAATAAATAAATAAATAAATAAATAATCAAGTACTTGATTGCATGTAAGTTCTGGATTCAAATATAGACCTAGGGATTTAATTTTAGAGTACAACTCCACTGCACTGTACCTATAGTAAAATGACATATTAATTAATTTTCTTAAAATTTTGTGTTATTTGTGAATGGGAGAATCTATATTAAAACCAGCACCACTATTTACAATTTAAGTGATACACAGATGGATTTAGAGCTTTATACACTCATGTGGATATTAAATAAAAAGTAGAATGAAGTATACATGCATAGTTACTGTTTTACTTTTCTATTGTTGTTGTGACAAAATACCTGATACCCAAAATTAAGGAAAGAAAGATATGTTTAACTTACAGTTTGTGAAGGTTTCAGTCCATAATCAGCTGGCTCCAAAGCAGGGTGGCACATGGCAGAGGGGCAACACTCCAAGGTGGCAGAAGACAGTAGAAGCAATAAGAACCGAAGGGGAGAGAAGGAACCTCTTTTCCTTCCTTATATTGTATGCAAGCTACCCGCCCTTTGGTGGATGTAGCATCTCCTACCCACCTCTTTTTTTTTTTTTTTTTTTCGGAACCAGGGATTGAACTCAGGCCCTTGCGCTTGCCAGGCAGGCACTTATTCTACTGAGCTATCTCCCTGGCCCCTCCTATCCATCTCTTGCACAGGCTCAGGACATTTACTCAGTGAGGACCCTGGCCCCCTGCTGAGTTAAACTTCGAAACTTCTCAGGTGGACACAGTGAACAGCATCCTAAAGTAGTGAGGGCATGTCCTCCGCACCCTAGTATGTAGAACTGCTGAGTTACTTAGTTAAGCTTCTAGACTTCTCAAATTGGCACAATCTGTCAACCATAAAAGTTACCTTAGAACAACCAAGGTTGATTTTGGGTTTTTTTGTGTATATTTTTCTCCCTCCAAATGTTTTTAGTGACCATATTTGTGTTTTATATAATTAGATAAAAATTAACTATTAAAAACTTACTTGAATACAATATACTTAATTTACTTTGGGCCTTAAATGCATGCTGCTTATTTATGAAAGGATCAGAAAAAACCCCTTTGCCTCATGTGCTGTTTGTTTATTTATTTATTTTTTATGTATTTAGTACAGGGTCTCCAGGGTCTCACTACGTAGATCAGACTCGTAGTGATTCTCCTGTGTTCAGCCTCCCAAGCACTGGGATTACAGGTGCGCACCACCATGCCCAGTCTCAGTCCCTGCCTCAGCACTCCCCGGGGGCAGGGCTGGCTAGGCATACTGGGATCGAACTCCGGCCACTGCACTCTGCCTAAGCTGGCGCTTTAGTCTGTTGAGCTATCTGACCAACCCTCATGTGCTGTTGAGAAATTCTCAACCTCTGCTATTTAGCCTTGCAACCAGCATAGGTGAAGAGAGTCTGTATTGCTTAGGATGTTATTCCTCATTTGCTGGAGAATAACACTTTCTGATGAGCCCTTCTTTGACATATGAATAGAAAATAGGACATGGTAGTCACTGAACCATTTTAAACCTTCTTTCTCTTTTTAGGAGATAGGCAAGAAAATGACAAAGAGAACCTAAACTTGGAAAATCACAAGGACCAGGAACCTCTGGATACTTCTAGTCAGGTCTCAGGTGAGGCTCCTCCTCAGGCATCCTTGAGAGGCTTCTTCGCTGAGGATGAGACAGGACACTTTGGAGAAGGTGTGAATCTCCCCGAGGCTCTGGAAAACCTTCCTGGTGAGGGGGCTGTAGGAAGGCAGTCTCCACATGAAAGGAATTCTGGGAAACAGCTGGCACAGTACATGCCTAATCCCCCCACTGAAGAACTGTCTGCTGTGTGGATTGAAGACAAGAGAGAGGCTTCTCAGAAGGGACAGCCACGAGCCCCAATGGCCCAAAAATTCCCCACCTGCAGGGAGTGTGGGAAAACCTTCTATAGGATTTCACAGCTTGTCTTTCACCAAAGAACTCACACTGGAGAGACATATTTTCAGTGCCCCATCTGCAAAAAAGCCTTTCTGCGGAGTTCAGACTTCGTGAAACATCAGAGAACTCATACAGGAGAGAAGCCTTGTAAATGTGATTATTGTGGGAAAGGCTTTAGTGACTTCTCAGGATTGCGCCACCATGAGAAAATCCACACAGGAGAGAAACCCTACAAATGTCCCATCTGTGAGAAAAGTTTTATTCAAAGGTCAAACTTTAATCGACACCAGAGGGTTCACACAGGAGAGAAACCTTATAGATGTTCTCACTGTGGCAAAAGTTTCAGCTGGAGCTCTAGTCTTGACAAACACCAGAGAACCCACTTAGGAAAGAAGCCCTTCCAATAGCCACTCTCAGCTCTTTTCTATTCCCTGTCCATTTAGACATGCTTGGCTTTACCTCGATGATTCATTCTTAAGAGGACATTCTGTTTTTCATGGCATGGAGAGGGAAGCATTTGGACATGGTTTTTAACTTGGAAGCTAGGTCAGCCTCTAGATTGGATTTGATGATAGCTTAATTTCATGCTTCTGTATCAGAAGAAAGAATGATCTTTATTTAGCCCATCTTTTCTTTTGGACTCACTGGGGGGCAAAGTCACTGAGAGCTCAGTTTTGGACATGCCCTCTGGAGAGACTTTGACTGGAGTTCCTGTAGTCAGTGCTCAAAGGAGGAGCCTTAGACTAGCCCTGTACACTTGAGTGCTAGATAGGTCTGCTGTTCCAGAAGGGGAGGTAGAGAGGCTTCGTGAGCTCATGTGTATTTCTTGTAATACAGGTGAAACACTCACTTCAAGTGTCTCTTGTCTGAAATAAAGTTAGTCCAGTCATCCCTTGTCTGTGTTTGCTCCAAGACCATTTTTTTTTTCATAGAAGACACTAAATGGTAGTTGATTTCCGAAATTAGCACATGTAAACCTATCAAATCTGTAGTGTAGCCTGACAGTAGTAAGAAAGAACTAACCTGTGCTCAGGTTGTAGGAGGGTAGCCATTGGCAGCCACATTTTACCTCAGGTGGGTTTGTCTTTGCTATCGCTCTCCTGAGCCTATCTACCATTTGATCACATGCCTCAAGGTTCCCTTCTTTCTCTTGGTATCACATTTGGGCTATCATTTTTACGGAAGTGTTCTGTGCTTTTTTATGTTTATTTAATCTCATATTGCCTGTAGGTGTTAGAATAAATGAGTAGTATTGATCCAGCTTTTAATACTACCTAGAGGTTTATTAACATATATATCTAACCTGTCCAGTAGTTTTCAAAAGTTATATGCCTTAAAATGCCCTGCTCTCTGATAGTAAGAGCTCTGTCTTCAGCCTCATGGTTTCTTGCATAGTCCTAATGCATTTTTCTGGCAAGAGTCACGAAGTGTTATACTAATGAGAAGGGCAGAACTATGTCTCTGAAAACAGACTAAGTAACAGACAGGAGAGCACAAAACATTGGCAGACAATGAAATATTGATGGGAGAGGATGGGCAGTTCAAGCTGGAGTTCTTGGACTCGTGAGGGGATTTGTTAATTTTCTTCTAGCATAGAGAGGAGTAAAGTCCCACTTGAGATTCAGGATGTGTGAGGAAGAAAACAGGAAAGTCATGGAAGAACTGGTATTAGAGTCTGTGTTCTGCATAGGAGGACTTGCAGGGTAATGGCATTCAGTGTTTTAAATTGGGTTCTCTGTGTGGCCTGCAGAGCAGCAGCAGGGGCATTTTGTTAAACTTACTGACTCACAAGTTCCGAAGCATGGGACTCAGCAATTTTTCAATAAGCCTTCCGGGGACCCCTGATATTTCTGATACCTGCTCTCGTTTAAAAGCCCCTGTTCTAAATAGCAATTAATAATAATAATGTAAAATCTCTGCAAGGATATAAGGGAATAATTCAGAAAGAATACTTCTGGGCCTTCCCAGAATTTTCTTACCACATCACCACATAGAACTCTCTGAACCTCAGTACAGCTATGGACCCTTTTTGGTTTCTGGTAAGCATTCATTCTGCAGAGTAAAATATGAAAACTTTTAGGTTAAAAAGTGATAGAGGGGTGCCGGGGAGATGGCTCAGTGGAATAAGTGTTTCCCTGGCAAGCGCAAGGGCCTGAGTTCAATCCCTGGTTCCACAAAAAAGAAAAAAGTGATAGAGGAAGAATTTCTCTTTGGGTATGTCTTATATGATCTCAGAAGAGACAGACACAGGATACTTGCTCACAGTTGTGTCCTCAGTAAATAGGTTTAGATAAAAATACATTGAATGGATGTGTGAATTAATGAAAGGATCACTTAATACTATATTTTAGCCTCTGTAGGAGGGATCATCAAAATACAACCTATTACGTGTTTTAGTAAATGAAGTTTATTGGAATATAGCCATACTTGTATATTATCCAGGCTGCTTTTGGGCTTCTTTGGCAGAACAAATGAATTAAAAGTGACAATATGGCCTACAAAGCCCCAAATATTTACTCTGGCTCTTTAAAGAAAATTTGATGACCTCCTAATCTAGGGTAGTACTCCCCAAATTGTAATGTACATGAAATATATGTGTAAATCACCCGAAAGCTGTAAGGATGGAAGCTTTATTCATGGGCAGTAGCAATGCCACTTGCAGTACCTGGAGCTAGACTACTAAGGATAGGTGATGTGCAAGAAAGCTGGGACTGTTGGTGGCTTGTTTCTCTTAGCCTTTTCAAGATCACTTATGACTCAGCAAGTCTCAGAAGCTGGCCTGGACACAGTTGAAATATCAATCACTTTATTAGGAAAGGTGAATACAGAATCCCCTTCCAGTAATTCCTGGGCCCAGCTGTAGCCCAGTCTCAGTTTCCCAGCCTAGTTCTAAAGAAGCTGAGTGCTGGTAATTTCTTAGCTCTGAGTGTCTGTGGTCAACCCTCACCTCTCTGTCCTGAGGGAATCTCTAGCTCAGCCCTTGGCCATGTTTCCTCAGTGGCCTGTTCAGGAAGCTAAATCTGGAGGAGCAAGGCTACTCCTGCTAGAACCCACTTGGATGGATTTTCCTTCGTTTTGAGGTTGAAAGTCCACACGTAGGTGGGTCCCCGCTGACATGTCTTGTACACGGGGCAGGAGTAGACATTGCGGTTATCCTGTTTATTTGCAGGAATGGCCTTGATGAACATCACAGGCATGGGAGGTGTCAGATCCTTCAGCTTTGCTTCCGTAATGATCCCCGCCTGAGGACAAGAATGTGAGAAGAGCCGTCTTAGATCTCACCCAGAGCTCAGCCCACTGGCCTTGCTCCTGTCAGAACTTCCAAGGGATGAGACACTGGGATACCTGGCTGCCTTTGTGACTGCTTCCCTTGCAGCCTCAATAACGCATGGTGGAAGTCATCTCATACTTAGAAGACTTTTTTTCTGACCTAAGTCACTTCTTGACATATAGTTCCAAAAGTTTGTATTTATCAAGTGCCTTTTGGACCTTGCTTTTCTCCTTGTTTTATTTTTTCACTAAATTTTCTAAGAATAATGAATGCAGCAACTTGGCAGATGTCAGGGGTGAATACTGATTTGAAAGGATGAAGACACAATTCTGATAGCAAAGGCTTTGGTTATATCCCATTTCTGCCTCTTCAGTTTTACAGGCAGTCTCATCCACCTCTATAGCATTTTAACTTTTTTTGTGTGTAGTACTGAGAGTTGAACCCAGGAGTGCTCTACCACTGAGCTATCCCCTCATCCCTTTCTATTTTTTACTTTGAGACAAGGTTTCATTAAGTTCCCCAGGGGGACCTCAAATTTATGACACTACTGCAGGAGCCCCTCTCAGTGCTGGGCTGCAGGCATGCACCACCATGCGTGGCTGGCAGTCTCTTTAATCATGGAATGAAGACCTGATCATTTTATAGCTTTCCACAGGAGGCCTCCCTGTGGCTTTCTGAGATGTCTCAATAGAGTTGTCTAGGGCCACTGTGTAGTTGACTAGAGTTTCCTACTGGTTCTGAGAAATGTTCTTGGGAAGAAGGGAGTCTGTTAGTCAAATAAACTTGGAAAACTGCTTTCCATACTCTGGACTTAAAACTTTACAGTATATGCTTGCACGCTGAAGATGCAGTAGAAAGCATAGCTAAACTGTACTTAACCTGGTGTCTCCCAAGTTTAGTTGACCACAGGACTGTTTTCTTTGTGGCATGCTCATTTCACATGGTGCTAGTATTATGTGTAACATAGTTTGGGGAACACGATTCATAGTGATTCACAAATTTAAATGTCTTCTATTCATGTGACTCAAAGTCCCTCCTGAACAGTTTGGTTTATTTTTATAAAATTTACTTAGAGGAAGGGTATTCCCTTTTGATTTATTTAGAGGCTGATCTAAAGCATGGTGAGCAACAGAAGTGAATCAGTGGTGACTCCCTTATTCCCCAGAATTGTTTGTAGTGAAGGAGAAGGAGCAGGACAGAATGTTTTCCACACACCACAAAGCCAACCATTTTAAGTGTTTGGTTCAGTGGTTTAAGGTATGCTTATTGAGTTGTGCAGCCATTACCACTGTGTGATTCTAGACTGTTTTCATCACCCCCAAAAGAAACTATAGCCATTGGTCTTTACCACTGGCATAGGGAATTGACCCTTCGTGTTGTGGTGAGTTGTACAGTGGTACATGAACATTAATTCTGGTGGTAAACCAAATTGGTCATGAACCAAATCAAATTTCTCCATAAGGTTCATTGTTGCCCAGTGTGGAGTTTGCACAGAGAAGCAAAATTTTGCTGAACACTTCTGTTCAGGAACTGTTCACAAAGTGTTTGTGAACCAAGGAACCATTATAAAAGGCAAAAGATTTATACAATCTGAAGAGTAACCAGAGTGTAAGGTACCATTAGATAGTTCTTCCTTTAATTCTGCTTTTGTTTCATGAATTGTCTTTTGTTAAGTTCATATATTTAAATAAACATCATCTTGATGGCTTGACCTTTTTTTATCACTAAAAAATGACCTACTTTGTCTAATATCTCGCCTACCTTTTCTCCAGAAACAATGTTTGTTTTATAAAGTCTATTGCAGCTAATTAGTGTAGTCCTTCTTTGGTTACTTCCTGTTGGATACAGGAACTTCCTGTTTGTCTTTAAAACTAAAACGTGTCTTTTATAGACAGCATACAGTTGGCTCATGGTGGTTCTTTTTTGTACACTTTACTTTTTAAACTTTATTGGTTTTTTTTGAGACAGCATCTCACTATGTAGCCCAGGCTGGACTCAAACTCAGTGATTCTCCAACATCAGGCTCCCAATGCTGAGGTTATAGGAGTGCACCACCACACTCAGCTGTTTATTTTTAAATTTCTGTCAACTGCTTGTTAATCATAGTATTTAGTCCATTTATATTTAATGTGAATAGGATTTATGCCTGCTACTTTTTTGTTCTTCAACTTTTCCATTAATATTCTGTTGTTTTAAAAGATTTAGCATGTCATTTTCAATTTGCTTCTTTTTATTTATTTTTTTAAATGTATTTTAGTACAGGGTCTTACAGGGTCTCACTACACAGATTTGACTCAGTGATCCTCCTGTTTTCAGCCTCCCAAGCTCTGGGATTACAGGCGTGTACCACCACGCCCAGTCTCAGTCACTCTCTCAGTGTGCCCCAGGAGTGGGGCTGGCACAGCATGCCAGGGATCAAATCCTGGTTGCTGTGCCTACCTAAGCAGGTGGTTAAGTCTGCTGGCTGGCCCTTTAATTTGCTTTGTGTTAAAGAAAAAAAAAAAAAAACTGTTTCCAAATGGTTCCCTGGAAATTATAGTTAACATTTAAATATATAATAATCTAGAAATTAAAAAGGTTTTGTTTCTCATAGTAAGAGGATCTTACACTTGCCAGGCAGGGGCTTATGCTGCTGAGCTATCTCCCTGGCTTAATATATAACAATCTATCTAAGATTAACTCCAGTTCAATTTCAGTAATACAGAAAATCTTAACTCCTGTGTAATTTCATTCTCATCCTTTGTGTTCTTTGTATCATTCAGATTGTCTCTTTATGCATTTTATGGCTATCAAAATAGATTTATTGCCTCATATAGGTGTCCTTTATATCTGATAGAACCGTACATGTTTCAAAAAAGTACATTTATACTGTCATTCATACTTACATATGTAGTATCTTTACTGATAACTATTTATTTGTGTGAACTTCTGTTTCTATCTGCTGTATGTTTTTTTTTTTTTTTTTTCACCCTGAGGGGCCTCATGCGTTTCTGCTAGTGACAAATTCCTATTCATATTTCATACTTTCTCTCATTCATGTCCTCTCTTTCCCTCTCTCTTCTTTTCCTCTTCTTCTTTTCTCATCCCTGTATCCCTACCCCTTTCTGTCTCTCTCTTCCCCTTACCCCCTCCTCTGCAGTTGTGTCTTATCTCTTTTCTTTTGAAAGACTGATTTGCTATATATTTGTATGTGGAATTCTTGGGTGCAAGTCTTTTCTTTCAACTCTCTGACTGTGCCATCCCACAGCTTTCTGGGCTTCATGATTTCTGATGAAAAGTCAGCTCTTAATCTCATTAAGGATTTATTTCTTATTTCTTTTTGGTACTGGGAATAAAACTTGACCTTGTACTCTCCAGGCATGGGGTGAGTTACTGGGATGTATCTCTGGCTTCATTGAGGATTTCTTGTAAGTGATGCATTCCTTTTTTTGCTTTCAAGATTTTTTTGTCTTTATTTTTCAACAGGTTTATATATATCTACACTGGATCTCTTATTTATTGTATTTGGGTTTCACTGGACTTCTAAGATTGTGTAGATTTGTGTCTCTCCAAATATAGAAAGTTTCACAAGCATTCTTTCTATTTTCTCTCTTCTTCTTCTTCTTCTTCTTCTTCTTCTTCTTCTTCTTCTTCTTCTTCTTCTTCTTCTTCTTCTTCTTCTTCTTCT